CCAACCAACTAACTAACAAGCCAACCAACTAACTAACAAGCCAACCAACTAACTAACAAGCCAACCAGCCAACCGACTAACCAACCACAAGACAACCAACCGACTAACCAACCACAAGACAACCAACCAACCGACTAGCCAACCAACCAACCCACCAGTTAAAGTAGCCAGATCTACAACAGCACACGGGTTGAATGTATCAGCGTAGCAGAGTGCATCACTGAGTACCAGTCTCCCCTCTGCATCCGTGTTATCAATCTGCAATGCAATAAATGTGTGGAGACCAGTACCATGGATCATTCCTCCTCATGTTTTGCTGATGTGTGGTACGATGCACAGCGTCATCTACACAGACACACACAGACACACACACAGAGTGGTGTATAAATAGAATAAACACGCAAAGAAGAGGATAAACATGTTCGGAGGGTGAGAGAGAGAGAGAGAAAGAGAGAGAGAGAAAGTGAGTGAGTGAGTAGAGAGAGAGGCATATCAAAGAAAAATCAGTTAAATCATGAAAGATGAGTAGAAATAGGTAATAACACAGAAAGAGTTATTGCATGGTTTGGGAGAAACGCAACCGAAAACAAAAATTAAAATAGGTTGGGTTTCTAAATATGAAATCAGAGAAGTAAGGGGTGACCAAAATTAACTTGGGCGACCAGACCATAGTAAGAAGAAAGTTGAGGAGGTTAAATTTGAAGCCATCGACGAACAAGTACCGAGAGGCATGTGGCGTGAAAGAATCTAGACATCTGAAATAGTCTGCCTTTAGGTCAGTAAGAAAGCTTGCCGCTTTCAATCAATGATAATAATGACAGAAATTTGCCTAAAAACATGCAGCAAATAGAAGAACATACTTTTCTTTCATTTCCACAAAACTCTGGCAAAAATAAGACAACTAGAAATGTACACATACATCACAATCACAACAAACAAACTACACAACACACATAAAAAGACACACATACACACAATCACACCTACACACACACACACACACACGCACCTGAATAGTCTTTCCATTCATTGCGGTGTGAACATCACCAGGTTTCGTGGCACTGCCTCCAGGCATGTTTTCAGTCAGAGGCATCAAACCTGTGTGTGTGTGTGTGTGTGTGTGTAGGCGTGCGTGTGCGTGCGTGTGCGTCGTATGTTCAATAAACTGAATGTGCTGTAAATATATGCAAGGTTAGGAAACCGGTAGCGTATAAACATTTCTTGAGAACAATATGAAATAGACTAAATAGTATGAAATAACGTCCGAGTAAGACAGTAAGACCTGACTGCACGTTTTAATCTAACTTTTTGAGCAGTCATAATTAATTGAATTCATGTCTAGTTCAATCATGGATCCACTGGCATTTAAATCATAACTCTAAGCCCAACCCAATCGAATTAATAAAAATCGACTTAAACTGTGTGAATATTCAATCCGTCAAAAGTTAGAGATGAATTTACGAGTGTAGACGCAAAAAATTTTAGTACTATGCAAACAAAACAGGCAAACCATCAGACTTCAGCAGCAATGAAATGACTGACCAACGAGATTGATGGGCAGCTTGAGTTTGGCAGCCGTGTAGATGGCGCTCAACGCGCAAGCAGCTCCTCCCATATCCGCTCTCATGTAGTCCATGTTCTCGGAGGGCTTGATAGATATGCCGCCACTGATTGGTTGGTTGGTTGGTCGGTTGGTTGGTTGATTGAATGGTTATATGGTTGG